AAATTAAAATATAATATTAAAAACGGAAAATGTTTCGTACGATCTACATACATTTTTCTGCTGAATTCAAATATTTTTTCAGAATCAAAATCAGACAATGTTAACCAACATTGATTTTGTCAAAACAAATGTATGTTTTTGTAAAATTCGTGTAGTGATATTTCGATAGTTATCACATGTGCATGTGAGTACGAGAAATGATACCCTCATTTAATTTCACTCACACTAATAATTATTTACAACTAACGTCTAACACATAGATCCCGGGCGGTTATGACAACATTAGAAATTGCCTAAATGTTGCCCCTTAAATAATGACCGTAGCGAGGCCCCTTAAGGGGCAACACTTAGGCAATTTCTAATATAAATTAGTCACCCGGGCTCTATGTGTTAATTGTAAATAATTATAAGTGTGATTGAAATTCAATGCAGGGCCATTCTTGCTTCACGTCATGTCAACAGATCGATAACAGTATGAAATTCACCATACGAATTTTACGACAACTTACTTATTGTTTTGACAAAATTAAAGTCAGTTAACGTTGTCTGATTTTGATTCTGAAAAAAATATTTTAATTCAGCAGAAAAATATCCGTAGATAGTACGAAACACTTTCCGTTTTTAATTTAAAAAATTCATATTTTCAAGTTTTTAGTTACAGTTCACCAGAGGTGTTCAAATTAATTTGTCAATTTGTGAGGGTATGGTTGATATTATAACATGCACGCTATTTAATTATTAAAAATATAATTTATGGTCATCATTAAATTTGAAAAAAGGTCATCTCCTTCATCATCCCCTTCCTCTATTTGACCACCAGTGTAGTTCACAATACTATAAGATTAAATTTTACATAGTGTTCCTTACGGTAGACGATTTTCTGACGAGTTTAAATGTTTTTCAGAATCAAAATTGTACAACGTAAGCTAACTTTAATTTTGTCGAAACTTAAGGTCTTTTAAGCTAAGTTTTACGGCAGTAATTAGGCCGCTTAATAGGACGCTATACAAGCATGCATTGTCTCTGTCTTACAAACGCATAACATAGCAAAATTTACTTTCTGAATTATCTATTTAACTCAGGTATATATTTAATATAAGAGCGAATCGACCTATTATCAAACTTAGAAATGAAGTGTATTATCTAGTGAACGTCGTATAGGTTTTTTTAGATTTTAATTTTAAAGCAAATTATGAATATTTAAAAATATACCAACAATTTACAGTTTTAAAATATTCATATAACTTGCTTTAAAATTAAAATATAAATAAATCCCTATGAGGTTCACCAGATGATATTGTTACCTTCAAACTTAATAATATGTCAATTCGCTCTTATATTAATTATTAACCATACCTGAGAGTGAAACAGATTATTCAAAACGTACAATTTGCTGCTATATGTTACGCGTCTGGAAGACGGTATAGAGTTCCATTAAGAGAACGCTACCCATACATTTGTTGTTTCCGTCTTACATACTCATTACATAGAAAACTGTTGTTCACTAGTATCAATAATGTCCTGTTAATTTTAATACAAGAGTGAATTGACCTATTATAAAAAGGTAAGAACATTGTCTGTGCTGAAGCGTTGATGATTTTTCAAAATTTTCATTTTCAAGCAAGATATGGGTATGTGAAAAATTAAAAATTAAAAATGCTCATATCTCGCTTTAAATTAAAATATTGCATAAAAGCCAACTCTTAAACACAGATAATGTTATTATCTAAAAAATTGATAATGGGTCAAATCATTCTAATATAAAAACTAACATCATACTGACACTATATTGAAACTAGTGGACGAAAATTTGCTATCCTCTTAATGACAGATTCCAAAAAAAGTTCTTAAAAGGCTTAAATGTACAAAATATGAGCTATAACCTACATGACATAGGCACACAAACACACACTCATGACATAAAATAATATATTCGTCACGACAGTGCGGGGTACATCGTATAATAATATAATAATGCATTGTATGTTAATGAATGTGTATTTTATGTTACTCATGGTTTTCGTTTTACAGAAAAATGCCCACGTCTGCCATATCCGAAGAAGCGTCGCTGCTCAGGTGAGTGTTGTGCCCCGACTGTTGTTATGGTCGTCCTTTGATATGTCCCTTGGTGACGCCGATTACCGAGTTCGGGCCGTTCGATTAATAATATCTGTGCGAAGGTTAGGTCCTCCTATAACCGAAATAATAACATTTATAATTTACACGGAATCGGCATGTTAACACTGTTTTAACGTATATCGTGTGCGTACCGTGTCCATAACAACTCACAGAGGTCACTCGTATCGCCCACTTGGCCCAAACTCGGCGCCACTGCGGCTGCATTGAATATAACATGTTACATCCCGTTGATGAAATTACCCATTTCACGAAATGGACAATTTTTTTTACCATTTCATGACTCACGAGTAGGTGAACCTTGAAAATTTCGTGTGCACTTTGGGTGATCCTGCGATAGTAACGAATAATATAATATTATAAACTTATAATTACACATTTTTTTTATATCATATAAATCATATAATTTTTGTTACCTACCATAATTATTCTTATAATATCGTGTATTTTGTGCAAATTTACCGTTACAGTATACTTTTTTTTTAAACTGATATAATATCATATATCCCTATTATCTCTGATCTATGTATAAAAATTATGAGAACAAATGAAAAATCAAACAATTTTTATAATAGTTTACAGTTTCATGAACCGGGTGTAACATTGAAATCTATCTATATACTATATGCTATACTGCACCTCACAATTTACTATAAACATTTTGTGTTTTCTGTGCGCGATGCAGTGGCATGCGGTCGGAGACTTTGGAGGAAGTGGAACTTACCGGCGTCCGTCCGTCGCTACCTGCCGTCCGGACGTTTACCAGGGGCAACACCGGTGTGGAAGAGGTGTACGTGGACACCGACAACGGGCCGGTGTGCGTGGCCGTGCAGGGCGATCGGTCCAGGCCACCCATACTCACTTACCATGACTTAGGACTGAACTGTAAGCGAGCCAATGGGGTTATGAGTCAGACGTTTTCCGGTTAGGTATTGCCTAATAATTATCTGGGTGGTTCTTTTCGATTCCCCGACATGTTGAAAACATAGAACTTTTCACTTTAGTATTGTTTCTGGTATGCAAATCGACAGAAATTTAAACGACTTCAATCATATCTATACGTCTAATATAGTAACTAGGTATTGACTTTATACTTTATAGAAAAGCACATAATAATAATATGTATTAGGTAGTTATATACATAACTTTTAAACGCATACGATTATGTGTTGTTTTGTCAAGTCTTTAAAAAGTATACAAAGCCTTAATTTTTTTTTATCTAAAAAAATCTTTTATATTGCCACGGAAATTCTAGTTTTTCCTACTATTACGCCCTCGTCTGTAGCCGCCGTTCAACGGAATTCGAAACCACCTCCTCACAAATTGTCGTGGTCATAAGTTATGACTCGTGACGTTAAGTTTCTCGTCCGATGAGCAAAAGCCTTTTATCATCGTTTAGTTGACGGAGGGGACAGGGTAGGGGTTATAGTTTTGACGTAACGCTTAATTTTTCCAACTGTAAAGCACCAATGTTGTCGTTTGGACGTTTTCTGACGCCTATTTGTTTTGCAGACGTCACAAGCTTTCAGACATTCTTCAATTACAGCGAAATGCGCACCCTCATGTCAAATTTCTGCGTGTACCACGTGAACGCACCCGGACAAGAAGAAGGAGCAGCACCGTTATCGGATGAGTAAGTTAAATTATAGCTGGCAAAATGTTATAAAATGCATGCGAGTGTGGATACAATGAGATTCTTACGATTTTGAAATGCAATATTCGACATGTTTTTTTAATTTCTAAACAACAATAAAACACATTCATTATACGATAATAGCTACCATAATAGGCATGTCGCGATATAATTTAGTATATTAATATTATACTCATATACTATGATAATATGTCCTTTGGCTGTAATTATGATATGGTGCCGTTTCAGTACACAACTTATATAGTGATCAACCCGAATGGTCGTATACGACGGTAATGAGCTAACGTAAGAAAATGTTTATTAAACGGTTTAATAATAAATTCATTTAACGAGTAGGATTTTTAATTTTCACAACAAATTATTAATATGCAGACCGAGGTGAACGTTTTTATGGCTATTGAAATTATTATTTCATATCATTATATGTAATTCAGTTTAATTATATTTTATTGATTTTTTTTTACGTCATCTACGTACGTATAGTACCTACGTTTAAAAAAATCTGTAAAATTAAATTGTACTTAAAAATTTTAAACGCCATAGAATATATTTAATAGTATTCACTAGAAAATGTTAACCGACGACGAATAACGCAAATTGCTTTTAATAACATAATGAACATTAAATTTTATTCATTTAGATTTAATATTAATTAAAAAGGCCTTCCTCGCCCCCACTCACAATCTAACTTTGGTAGGTTAAATCTTGTTTGCTTTGTGGATGAGTACCGAACGCCAACGGTATATATTATTAATACCATTAATATTTAAATATTTGAATGGCTTAATCACTCTTCGAATGTAGGTGCTTTATATATGGTTTTTAATTAATTCGAGTACATTTATAATCTACATGCTGTGAAATCTACAATTAAATAACAAATTATGGTTATTTTATTGGAAATAAGTGTAAAGTACTATTACGACTCATTATTATTATCCATTCAAAATTGAATAGTTTAAAACTAATGTAAATATATATCATAACAAATGCTGTACTTAATATAACCTAATATTACGCTTTAAAGCAAATTTTGACCAAATTATACTGTAAGTATAGGTATACACATAATATATATTATTTAAAAATAATTTAAATTTTGTTGTATTTTTAAAGTTTGATTTTTATTGTTCGATTTCCATTAATTAATGTTTTGTGCATTACAATATAATATATATATTCATAATAATGAATTTAAGATAACCTTAAGTCAGTTTTTATATTTCAAACCAATAAGGGCGAATTGGTAGTTCAATGCCATCTCGGTCTGCTCACCGATGAATGTCTGCAAGCTGTTTTCCAAGACTTTCGGGATACGCTGATGGGCCAAATCCCTGATAGTTTCGCAGTTGTTATCGTTATTCAACAACACTGTGAGCCCATTGACGGTGGTCTTTGAGAACTTCTTCGTAACCTCTCCTTGTCCATTAGGTTTGGTGACTACGATCATGGTTTGCAAGTTTTCTATGGCGAACGAAGCCTTGCCATTGTACACGTTTCTGGTGTTGTACACCAATTCCCATTCGCTGACGCCTCTCAGGTCAAACGACGCGAAGCTGAAGAGCATTTCAGTTTGATCATTGTTGACGGTGTAGTTGACCATCTTTTGGACTTTGTTGGATCCGCTCAAGTCGTTAAACATGGTGTTGTAAATCTTGGCCTGTAACGATTATATTATAGATTTTCCAACCAGAGATAGCGAATATTATTTATTATGAACAAAAAGAGTTCAAGGCAACATAAAGTGCAAACTGTAGGGGTGGTGGCAATAAGGACCCAGGAGCCTCGAGTGTTAAATGTGTTCCTACTCTCATATTATGTTCTGTAAAATTATTAGAGTTTTAAATAAAATATCATTTTAAAATGAAGTGCAAGATATATGATAATATTTCAATTAATAGTATTTTGTAGACATTAATAATTGTTTTGATAAAATTTACGTATAATGAGCAAATACATTTTTGAATGTGTAGAATCACAAAATCTGCCTACGAGTTGCAATTTTTTTTAACACTGCAATCTGCTGCAGTTAGTGTCAATGATGGATATGTTTTATTCATTACTCTTATATTATATTAGTGATTAGTGTCATCTTACTTGTATTCCGGGAGCAATGAAAGCGTTGGTTTTTGGGACAGCCATGGATTTGGTCGGGAACAAGACAGTCGATTTCAGCTCTTGTGCGAGACGCATTGCAATTAGGGGTGCGAAACTGACAGCCATTTCTTCGGCGAGACGGCCTTTGATCACCTTGTTGAGGTAGTTGTAGTAGTAGACATACGGCTTTTGGAATTGGGTGTTTCCGCTCAACTCGTTTAACACTTCCATGTTGGTGAATGTTGATTCGTGGTGACCGAACATCAACGACTTGGAGTCGATTTGTGGCCGATTTTCCATGAATTCGTTCAGAGGGAACTTAATTTTGAATATGATATCTTTCAAGATGATGTTGAACTGGCCGGACTCTGTCTTTTTGGAACTGGCAGCATTGTAATCTCCGACGATATCGGCTTGCTTCAATGCAGCGGTGACCCAAATCTATAAAATACACATCACATTGTATAGCCAACTCTTTACTAATATGTACATATTCTGTTAATATATGTATATATTTAAGTAATTTATAAATAATTTAGATATTTTACCATGTTCTCGCCTATCTTCTCCACGTTGACTTCATTCAAAATTGCTTTTGACAAACCATGAATTTTGGCGTTTCTGTATTCGACTTCGCCGTTGTTCAAGAACTCGGTAGCATCGATCAAGCTCATCGGGTCTGAGAATTTGAGGTTGCTTTTAGCTTGTTCGACGTATGATTGATACTTTTGACTCGCTTTCAGAATAATTCTCATTTGTTGGCCAAAATCTTTGGACAACTCGACGCCTTGATGAGAATCTTCCAAAGTTTTCAGACCTTCATATTTGATTTCTGTAAATTAAACATGTTACGAAACCGTATAATTACGAGTAGGCTGCATACGATATTGCATTTGGGAAGTAATAGCATAAAAAGTATATGGTATAATAGTATATAATTTTCTTAAACGAAACGGAACCGGAAAGCAACGTTAAACAGTTTTGTTTTCAAATTAATTTCTAATGTTAAAAGTATATTTAAATTTAAAACTAAAACCGATAAATAACGCATTAGTTTAGTTTATTATAAAAGTTTAATAAGACTGTATAAAATATACCTTGGTAATTGCCAGTCTGGTTACGACAGTGCAAGCAAATAGCGTTGATTGCTGCTACTGAAACAGCGAACACGAACAGGGAACCAAAGAACTTCATGTTGCTGCCGGGATCGCCACTGAACTGCCTGTGAAGTCTCCATCCTGACGTATTTAACCGTATTAAAATGTCGATTAAGTGGTTTGGAGCAGTATTGGATTTTTGTCGATATGGCTGTTGGTTGCATATGTATCGATATAGAATTGTGTATTTTATGACCTTTAAACATTGTTTACACCACGAAATACATACAACTTACACTTAATCGCTACTTTTCGTAAGTTTTAATTAATACAAATGTATATATGTATATTATAATCACAAGAGAGCGTTTCAGAAAAAAAAACATAAGATAAGTTTTCGATTGCACCTCATTATAGTTTATCCTTGTATAAGAATAAAATAGTGCTGATTTAATTCACTAGAACTGACAATTATATGTAAAAATAACTTGAAATGGTCTTTCGTATTGATTATACAGATTTATAATTTTAATCAATAAAGCTGAGGGGCACCTACTTTGAATTCCAAAAAAATAATGAATTTAGAATATTCATAATTAGTTTGAAAATTAGGTAACGTTCGAAAAATAATCTAACAATGCATGACAAGTTCAAGCTTACAATAAGTATTTTTCGAAAAACAATCAAATAACAAAAACCAATTTCGTTGTACTAACGGCGATGTCGTAAACTTAGCGATTTTTCTCAATTTGTCCTTAGCTTGGATTATTATTTAAGATTAGGAAAAATAAATTAGAACATTTCATAATACATTTCTTCAAAATATCAATTAGATACAATGATCAATCGATAGGTAAGCTGTCACTTTGAAATTGTAATAAAAAGTAAAATTAAAAGTTGCATTAATTTTTCAGATAACAATTGAAATTTAAATATAGGTACTTTAATAATAGTAGGTACACATTGTATAATTTGATCCAAATAGATATCTATAACAATAATTTTAATTTAATACTAACTATTATCGTTACGAATTACGAGTATGAAGCATTCACATTGAATGTCATGACATTTTCGTCATGCAGTAACATTTCAAAAAATTAATTGTTTCTGTAATTTTTATACTCGTACGAATTTTTCCTATTACATCTTAATGTAGCTCATTGCTTTAATGTTCTATACACTGCTAAATGTTATTAACGTAGTAATCTCAATTAGGATATTATTCTTTTAATGTACCTACATAGTAATAATTACTCTTTCAATGTGTGTAATTACATCTATAATGTTTTTACTCTTTTCAATAAAAACTAACCACTAAACTTTGACGGTTTTATATGTTAACTATTGTCATTATTATAGATTTACTTTTTTATCGTCTAATTACAATTATTCTCGTTTGTTGTTTTTTAATCTATACCGTACACTAGTATAATTTACTTGTACGTAGATATTAGGTATATGACAACTCAAGGTACTTATTATACAAGGTGTAACTGAAAGACCTGACGAAAAAATGACGCTACTTAAACGTATATCACAAAAATTGTTAAAATTATATGATTAGCAAATAGTTTAATATACTCATGTCAGGAAAAAAGTTATTACATTTCAAATTCATTTAATCAAAAAATATTGATATTTAAAAAATTCTAAAAAATAAACTACTTGACTTAGAAAAATGTTTTTACTATAAAAATTGTTCTTATAACCAGATTCACAAATTGGCTATTTTGAATATACCCAAAAAATGTTAATTAAAATTAAAATTTTTTATTTTCAGTGTTTAAAAATAAAAATAATTTTTTGCATAATTTATGTGTAGCACAAGTGACTATAAATTACATAAAAAAAAATTTAAATATTGATTAGAACAAAAGTTATTCCAAAAGTCAGCTCTATCTGTTACACCCTGTATTATAATAGATAAATTTGTTATAATGAAAATTAAATATAATAATATTTAATATACGTATTGTTAACAATCAACGATATTATTTTCCATCGATATAAATATATTTATCATTAAATACCACACTCCCGTGTGGTATATTATTAATAGAAGCCATTAGGTCAAAGTTGTAACTTGTTTTGAGCATATATTTTTTTTTATGTAAAACACGTGCCAGTGTAGGTTATATATATAGGAACTTAGATACGAAATATGCGTATTATAATTGTAGAATTTTCTAGATTTTCTAGATAAATTTTAATTGACTTTAAACTTAAAACGTATTCATTATCGGAATAAAACGAAATACGTATTATTTACCGATGAAAAATAAACTTTACAAAACAACCAACTTATAACAGACGAATAAATCTATTTAAGCGATTCAATAGGGTAGTTACAAATACGATTTTTCAAATATTATGTTTATTTATAAAATCACAAGGATAAGAATTATTACAAAAAAAAAAGTATTTTACAAAATTATATTATTATTATATTATCAGACAATTTCCTCACCGAATGAACCGGTATTTAATACATTTTTTTTTTATAAATTTTAAATCAATTTCCAGTTGATTTATTTTCTTGACTACCATTTATTTATTCTGCGATTTAGAATTAGTTATTATAGTAACAAAAATAAATGAAAATTTATGCAGCTCAATTAACCATTTGTTCCAGTTGTAAAGCATTAAACAGGAAACCGATACAATTCGTATTGGCGCACCCTATATTTACTTTTTAATTAACACATTAGCCTTTAATATAAATATCAATGTATAAAATACACAATACACATATTATAGTCTTAAAATAAATTAAAAAAACTAAATTAACGCTATTCATCAAAATTTAATACAAAAATAAAAGAATTTGTTTTATACTTTTATGGCTTATCATGGAACAATTGTTCCTTTGTGAGTGTAGCTATTAGCATTTCTTTTTAGGGTATTTTCCTTACATTTGTTTTTACTGAATTGGTTTTTTCATTAATACAAACTAGTTTATACACAAAATATAATATATAGATATATAGTGCACCATACAATATGTATTATATTTTCCGACTTAAAATATGATCAGTGAGACAAGTGATAAGCTGGTTAGGGAATTAATCAATGCAATTAACAACATGGAATAAATTCTATCATTAATTTTAATTGAGATTTGTGTACAAGCTTTAAGAATTATATATTTTGAAAGATCATATTAAAATAAATTATGTCCCTCATCACTCGTCAAAATATTTGACTAACTTATTTTTCAAATTAATTTTATGAAAATAATTAACTTTGATCAATACTTTGTTATTTAACTTATTTAGTACACACTCAAGAAAGCTAATCTGTAATCTCAGCTTTTATAAAATGTTATATTATTAATTTATATTATATTACATTGTTACTATATGAGAACTAACATGGCACAGGAGATTCTATATCTATATTTAATTGCTTTTATTTTAAATTACAAAATATTTCAAATATGTATCTCATTGTATCAATATTATTGAGTTGTTAAATTGTTGTATGGTAAATATTTATAGGTTTTAAAATTAAATGTACTGACCCGTGTTGGCTTAAATAATAAATAATACATTTTGCTGACCTTCAAATTAATAGACAATTGGGTACTTATAGCACTATGCATGACATGCCGTGTTAATTTATATGGATTTTCATTCGAAAAATGCCTCGAATATCGGTGTTTACGTATTTTATTATTTTTGGCATGCAACTGAAAAATATTAAATAATATAGATTCAATTTATTTGAAAAGTATCAATTTTAAACGTTTTAATAAAATGTACATCAGTCTTTATCAGAGAAATCGAAAAACCAGTTTAACATTACATAATGTGACGTGTGAGCATTTATCCAACCTCTACCCTCTATAGTGTTTCTTTACTATATAATATTATGTAGAGAATAATTCGAATTTTTTCTTTTATTATAATATACTATTTGGTTAATTTATTTTCGTTCTAGGACAAATGATAACAGCTTATATTATAATAATATCAGTGGTAATTTCTACGACATTTGAGAATTTCGACTAGTGACCTAAATCAACTGTAAAGAAGTTTTAAATTTTTTTTTTTTAATTCATCATCATTTATTCTTTATAGTAGAATATATATTACTTTAATTTATTAATTATTCTAAAATATTAAGTTTCAATAGTACCATTGATTAAAAATTTATACATTATTTTATGTATATTTAATCAATGATAGTACTACGATTTAACGATCACCATTAGGTACGTATATCCGAGTATTGCGTCGTAATAAAATTTATTTAATAGTATCTACATAGTGAATAGCTTTTTAACTTAACACTCGTTGTTCAAAATAATTCGTGGAATGTATACGATTAATGTTTTTTTTTTTTCGATTAAATAGTAAATACAACTCTCGATGTAGCACTATATACGAGGAAAAAATAAGAGTGGGGAAACAATGACATTTTTGTAGATAAAACTGCAAGCTGTGTGTAAGCCGTTGAAATATATCACAATATATCAATCTATTTTAACGGGGAAAAAAAAGGGAGCGAGGCACGTAGTCAACGCATCCACTTCAGTCCATCACAATGAGTCTTTTGTTAACGATTTAAAGCATCAAACAGAAATAAAAAAAAAGTAGCTTTCGATGATGTATGGAATAGTATGAAACTAACATTTCGGATTGGAATATTGTTACTTAAAAATGTGAAAATAAAATGGGCTTCAATTTGTATTAGTCAAGAGTAATACGAATATAATATAATAATATATAAGTATGATAATAATAATAATAATGATAATAATTTTTTTTATTGGTCTAGAGCCCGGTAACTACGGCCATTAGCTATGTAGGGGTCACGGTTGGTATGGTTGGAACGGTTAGTTGGCAGCAATAATAATTACGAAACGCATTCAATTTTACCTTTACAAAATATAACTAAAATAGAAAAAAAATTGATTATTTAAGAATGTGAACTTTCAATAAATATTACACTTATTTAATCACAAACCACAACATAAATTCATTTATCGTTCAAGATTGAATTATATTTTAGACTCTTGCAGCTTTTTGGTTTTACAATGATAATATTAAGAGTAGATTATTTTTTTTTTTTGGCTAGTAAAAGTATTGTGTATATGTGGCCTTTGAATCGAAATTATACACACAAATAGTTTTTTTTTTTAATCTTTCAACCTGCAAAAAGTGGCAAAGTTTAGGTTTCTAACGAAAAAACTATGGTTTTCACGAAACCAAGTACCTACCTATTGCTTAAAATCGTCTTTCACAATATTGAATAATAACTATACTATTACGATTTATCATTGATTTTTAGATAATAGAAACAATACAAGAGTATTTACTGAAGGTCATTTGCAGAGGTAAGCTAAATAATGTCAAAATTCTCTCAGCTGTGTCCATATCACTCCCTCTCGAGTTACTCTTCAATAAAATTCTGCAGTATAGTTATACCGTTTAAATCTCATATACCTATAACTCGGACCTATAAGTAATCTGATAAACTTTTGGTATTAATAAATTCTAATAAATTGGATTGTGATTTTTTTTTATTCATAGATTCGATTGAAGATCAATATATATAATCAATGTATATCAATTTTTAAATAAAAATTACACTCTCTTTTGGCTAAAATATTTGAATGTATTTTAATATAATGTATGTTTACACATAACACAATAGGTATACGTTTTTAGAGGACACAATTTATTTAGGTGGCTATTGGTGCGGCACGGTCCACTCAACTGCGGAAATGCTTTGAGTGTGTTGCTAAATTTTTATGAGCGTTTGAAGTTCAAATTGTTACAACTTTGGATAATCACTCGATTTCTCATGTAGCGACTTTCCTATTTTGTTGTAATTCCAAAACGAATAACCTTTGACACTTGAGATTTATATTATATGTTTATTTCATCAATTCCTATGCTTGATAAGATGTATTGACTTGTTTACGGACAATTTAAAATTTTAATTTTTTTAGTTTTTGATTTTATAAATATCAATAAAATATTATTCGTTTGGTAAAAAAGCGTGAAAATTGAATACAATGCTCCTGAAATATTTCTTAAATAGTAGTTGAAAAACATTAAAAATACATTGGCACAATTTTTTTTAATAAGCATTTAAAGTTCAATTTTTGACAACATTTATCAAATTTAAAATTTAAAAATTTATAAAATGTTCAACTTTTATAGCTGAGAATTGAAAACTTACATCAAGTAGGTTATTCTGTAACCAAATAATCTCAAAAATATAAAATAAAATTTTTTTTTACTGTTATATTGTATGTTCAAATTTATACGAAATTACATATTAAATAACCAAGAATAACGATTTAAGTTATTTTGTTGTAATCTTATAATATATTAATTCAACTTACCGTCTACCGTATTAATAATAAGTAATAACAATATAAATATAATATAAAATATCCACACTGACAAACCGTTACCGCTCGGTATTGTTTTTGGAAGGTACAATGATATTAGGTACCTATATCATTGAATTCAAATTTAATACCATCCATTATACTGCAGTGATCCACTTGTAACCTATACTGTATCGCAGAGCGACATCCACTTGCCCACCTTTTTTTTCAAAATAACATTTAAAAAATATCCAATACTAAACTTTTAGTTTATTTATTTTTTCTTTGTCGTGGACGAACGTTTTTTACCAGCTGTGTCATTCAAACGAACGTAACTCTTTACATAATATACGATTTTGACTCGTCTGGTTTCGTGATGATAATAATATTAATAATAATAATAATATATGAATGGAAAACATTGTTTTATTATCGTAATATTACAATGTACATTTTTATTTTTAACACATTAACAGTTATGAAATGGTGTCGGGGTTATTTTCTATTGCACAAAATGTATAAGTCGACTAGCGGGCTCGTTCGTGACCGATTACATCATTGACTGTTGAACGCTACGGTTGATGGCATTCTCGAGGGTGCGTTTCAAGTACGCTTCGAAGTGGGAGACCAACTGTTTCTGGACGTCGGACCAGTTGACAGAGGAATCGGAGTCGGTGGACGTGAACTGGATCTGGGGTCTGGTGACGTGGACCTCAGTGCGGACACTGTTCTCGACAAAGTCCAAGTTGGAAACCACCTTGACGGATTCGGTCGTGTACGTGGCCCTGCGGTTGTCGCTCTTGCCGTTGTGCGAAGTCACGACTAGGTCGAATTCTCCGATCATGGCCAACAGGCGGAGTTCGAGTTTGGCGACGCAGCTGTCTCTGGTCTTGATCACCTGCACGAACGAAACCTTGGCCAAGTTGTTCTTGGAGTTGTCGAAATCGAGGTTTTTCATTTCGAAACGGAACCCGTCGGCCAGATTTCCGGCCATCGGTAAAGCGGTTTCGCTTGCGATTTTGTTGCTCCTGAACACCATGTAAGGCTTGACGGCCCGTCTGATTTCCAGAGCGACGTCGTTGTACATGTCGTTGACTTTAGCGGTGGCTACGTATTGGGGAATGGTGTGTTTGACGAAGTAACTAGACGGAAAAACGAGAAATTAATTAGTTTTAAAACTTTGTTTCGACTGTAGCTAACAGTCAATGTTATAGCACTATAATATACAAGCACAGAGGCCCAGAGATCATGCCTTATGGGTGTTTATTCCCCTCAAAAATGTTACATTTTTACTTTTGATTAGTATTTTTATTATTTTATACCACGATGGTATGATTTTTGATTAATTATTATATATTGGAAAATTGTATTTGGAATATAGATATTAGACAATATATAATGGTTTTTATTTTGATAAAAATAGCTGTAATCTTTGTGCTCGTCCTTTTCATCTCGTAAATTAAATTACATTAAATTCAAATCATAAATGTATACACATTTTTGATTTTCGCTTATAAGTATTAGGTTGGATGTCAGCCACTTGTTATAATAATATGTTTAATATATGTGGTATTGTTTATTGCATGATATTCAAAACATTAATTTGAAAGGGGGTTCTTGGAATACAAATCGATCCCTATTTTAATGTAAATTTATATTTAAAAAAAATGAAGTCTTTCCCTCTGAAATTCTACTAAATCTCAGTGAATTGAAATTTACTTTGACCACGTATTATACTCACTCAAATTGAGGTTTATCGTTTTGGAACACTTCCGGCAACGTGGTGTGGTTGGCGATGAACTTTTCGAACTTGACGGAGCCGACGGTCGACATCAACGGGTAGACGTTCGAGTTTTTTGTGAGCATAGTTTCACCCTTGTACATAGGTTCGATAATGTCTAAATGGAATATTCCACTATGTTTGGCTACGGTGTTTGTGTAATGGAACACTCCGTTAACAGCGAATTCTTCCCAGCAGTTGACGACTTGGATCTGTAAAAACGAAATTACCAAAAATTATGATTTCCCTGTACAATTAACACTGGTAAATTACAGAGCTCGACTCAATTTGTTTATCGATTGTGCATTGATTTTTAAAAACATGTCGTTCGATAGTTAATATATTAAAGTCAGTCCATATATATACTGCCCTTGCATTCACATATAACTCCATACACTATTTTTCCGAGTCTAAGTTATTTAAATATTATATATTTGGGAATTTTTTTTTATCGTAATAGTTTGCTTAAATTTATTTTAGGTACCAACGAGAAACTATATTATTTTCATACCACAGTCAAAATAAGTATTAAAATACTATTTAATATTCAATATTCATCTATGCATCAACATTTTTAAAATTCTATTATGCTTTTGAATATGAAATCAAAAAATGTCGATTTAAAAATACCCTGTCATAAAATAATAGATTTTTTGATAAATATAAGTTATTAGTTATTAGTTTATTACCTACTACTAAATACAGACATAAAATGTAATTATCAAATAATATTTAATTTTTCAAAAACATAAAATTTGACTTTGTAAACTAGTATAGCAGATAAATAGATTTAAAGTTATTTTCGTTAAATTGCCTTGGTTTTTGGACCTGAGGTGTAAAAAACTACGATTACTATTTTATGCAAAAAAAACCTACAGTAGAGTCTCGCTAATCCGGAGTTGACGGGACCGGCTCTATCCGGATTAAACGGAATGACGTTTTTTTTAAACTTACAGATTAATAAATATAAACAAAAAACACCTTATGTATTTATACAAAAATGAGTATTCCCGTGTATTTGGAAACAATATCACAATGCATATGTAATCGAAACGAAAATATCTTAATCATGGGTATTCCCGAATATACACGAGTACCAAAGTAGGTACGAAATATAGCGGATTAGCGATGACCGGATTAGCGAGACTCTACTGTAGTTGAAAATTTTTGTACCAGTAAAATAATATCCATTGGCACTACAATCAATGAATCGAGAAGGTATAATAATGTAGGTACATAATATTAATACTGTTATACGCGCTTACCAAATCTGTTCCCCACTTCATGGTGATGTTTTGGCTTTTCAAATTATTTAATCCCTTGACGCGGACGTCGGTCAAGACCGTGTCGGCGTTGTAACCGATGTTTACGGTGTCTGGGACGGACATTTCGTTTGATCTAGAGTTGTCGGGTTTGGCCTCGTCATTTTTGTATTGTCTTATGACGTTCACGATGGCGTCGAAGGAGTTTGCGATGGAATCGCGTTCTTCCCTTTCTGGGGTGTATTCGTTGTCGCGGTTGTTGTTATTGTTGTTTTCATTCGATTCGAACAATTCGTTTTGGCTGTCCAATTTTTGAGCTGAAAAAATAATAATATGTAATGTTTATTTTTAAGATCGTCGAAAAATAAAAACGAATACAACAAAGACATATTAATTAAAACAACAACACCAATAAAAATAATAATAATGTTGATGTACGTACACGGCAGAGTGGCGGCTGTGGCCAAAGCCAGAACAGCGGTTAAAACGATCACAAACTTCATTTTCTCACTTGTGCGGAACAACTGTAATGTTGATTTTCACTCCGACACAGTCTTTTATATATCAATTTTTTTATCGCCTATATTACTAATCTTGTCTGCGTACGCTATAGATTAAATGCCGGACATGTAAATTAATTTTACTCAATCATGCAATTTTTTTTTTCATAATTATTATAAATTATATTATTAATATATTATATAGATTGTAAACAGATTTGCAAGGTTTTAGTACACAAGTTTAAATATATATTATTCGTGGTATAGATCATGATTGGACGCGTGTAACGTGAGCGTTAAAAATATTAATTAAATGCTGACATGATGTTGATTCCAAATAAGATTTTTAGATAACAACCAAAAAATGTAATTTTTTATTTCACAGAATCCTCATAACTATTATTTTATTCAATTTCAGTTGAATTATAAATTATATTTAAAAATTTTTGATTTCAGAGTTCAGCCTAAAACCAAAATATATTTTAGATTATGTGCGGAGAGATGAATGTATTGACTTTACAATGATGTGTGTGTTTTTTATCATTTTATTTTTGTGTCTGTCATCACCGTTTGGGACAGTAAAACTGATTCAATTTTCTTCAACAGTATCTTGTTCAATGGGAATGTGAATCTAATTGGTGCATTCGGGAGTTCAAAATTTAAAATTTCCAAAAACCGTCAATAATTTTTAAAAGCTCAGGGGAAAACAAAATAAAATTTAATGAAACACAGGCATTTTTACACAAAATAGGTTTTTGACAAATCGATGTTGGTTTTTGGCATAACTCTAAAACAAATTAAAGTAGATACATGAAATTTTCACTGGTTGTTTATATTAGCATTTTATATACACGATCAAATTTTCAAAATGTTTTGATTAGTTTTGAACTGTTAACGGACATTTTCAGTTTCTAAATTTTTGGTTTTTTTTTACTATGAATGAATGTCAATAAAATTTTATTTGTTGAGTAAAAAACTTGAAAATTTAATACAAGGATCTTGATATATTGTTACAATGACATTTAAAAAATATTAAAAATCCATAGTCACAATTTTTTTTCAGAAGCATTCAAAGTTTAAATCTTGACAAATTAGTAAATAAGTAAGACTTCCGAAAATTTGTAAATTATTTTCAGTTAGAAATTCATAAAAATGTTTATTTTTAAATCTAATATTTGAACATGTATAATACAAGTTTCCTCATAAGTTTGTCTACCTTTATTATAAACAATTGTATGTATGAAAGTCCAATTAAATTTTTATGAGCGTTTGAAGTTCATATTTTTACAACATTGGATCTTCACTAGATTTCTTATGTAGAAATTTTCTTATTTTTTTGTAATTTAATTCAAACACATAACTGTAGATACATGAACATTTGACCGAATGTTTATATTTTCATTTTCCATACAACTTGAAATTTTGAAAACATTTTGACTCGTTTTAGCTGTTTATGGACAATTTAAAATTTCAATTTTTTAAATTTTTTTTGTTAAAATATCCATAACATTTTATTTAATTATTTTTATTTTTAATTTTTTCATTGGTCTTAAGCCCGACAACTGAGGCCATTAGTTGTAGGATGGTACTGTGGGGTTTTGGTACGATGGGGAACGGTTGGAGGAACACGTTTTTGTGTTTTGGCAAAATTTTCTAGTGGGCACCCGTACGTATTTGCCATGACACCATGACTGCCCGAAGAAAAATGCCGCCCTTGGTCGGGATCGAACCGGCGTCGGTGCGCCTCGCAACCGACTCCTTAGTCCGCTCGGCCACTTCGTCCTCCAACATTTTATTTGTTGGGTCAAAAACCGTGAGAAATTAATACAAGGCTCATCCTGATAATCCTGATATATTGTTACAATAGCAGATGAAAAATATAAAAATGCTAAGACACCTTTTTTTTATATTCATTTAAAGTTCAAATGTTGACGAAATTTATTGAAAATTTACAAATTATTTAGTAGTTAAAAATATTTATAAAATGTTCAACTATTATAGCTAAGGATTAAAAATTTAAAACAAACTTCCATGTAAATAGGTTAAATATAAACAATTTTATTCACAATTATATCATCAAAATAATATTATATACTTAATTAGTAATATCAATAATATCATAGACTGACGGCCTTTGCTAAGAATCGATTTTCTTATACAATGATATTTTATCGTTGAACTCAAATTTAACACAATCCATTACAGTGTCACACTTGTAACCAACTGTACAGCAGAGCGACACCCATTTTCCCACATTTTTTTTTAATGTTCAAAATAACATTTTAAAAATATCTAATACTGAAATTTTACTTTATTTATTTTGTCTTCGTCGTGGACAAACATTTTTTACTAGTTGTCATAATATGTGCTTGTGACCAAAAAATATATATACCTATATTTATGGAAGGGAAAATGAATGTGTGTATTGTGTGTGCTGTAATTTATAATTACATTTTAAAACATAGAATAATTTTGTAAAGAAAAATATGATCGGATCAACACATCGCTTTATCCATACCTAAACCGGCTAAACCTACTTAAAACTAATAAACACCAATTCAATGAAACATTTTATTAATTTTAATATATATATATATATATACATACGAATATACGATGTTAAAAGAATATAATTTATTAATTACCTAATTATTATTATTTTTATTTATGAACTATTTAATGTTTTAATAAAAAATATAAAATATCAATTAATAACTTATAAATATGATAACCTTCATTTTAAAGTATTTCATATATAATATTCTTTATTCTTGATTACTGTATGAATATTAGTTTGATAAGACGTTCTACACGTCATATATAATAATTGTACTCGTTTGCTGATGGGCCTTGGTTATGTATATTTATATTTAATACAATTACCTACCTATATTTTGAAGGTACATGGTAAATATTTTCTGATTTTTGTAAAAATAAAGACTAAATATTATGGTGTAGATTTTCATACAAATTCTTCTTTCGACATTTTTTTTTTAGAGTTCTGAAAATGCTGAAAACGTCTGAAAAAGGCAAATAGCATACAACCCGAAGGTCTTAAAAAAGGTCTTTGTTTCTAATTAATTTTTATAGGAAACTCACGTATATTATTAAAAAATATAGGTACAACTAGTACATGTAAGTCCCCGTTTTCTTCAAATTTATAATCATTTTTTTATGGTAAACCAAGATCAACTCAAAATTACTTTTAACTTAATTATTTTTTTAAATTTAAATACATCTGTGCTAGCAGCTGTTCACTCATAACTATATAGTATTTCTATACATTTTTTTCCCTTTTTTTTTTAATATAATGTCAATGCTTTTACGAAATAATCCATTGTTCTATATTATAATAATATAACCAACAATTCGTTTTTGCATAATTATTAGTTTAATATTAATTAATTTTTTTCATCCCACCAGGGAATCCGAGTATCCATTTGCTAATGATTAATTTATTTTATAAAGTTATTATTTAGCGTGCTATATGTGTTGTATAAAAACAAATTGTTTTATAATATTAATGGTTAATTGACTAATTTATTACTATTATTTATTTTATGAGTTTATAATTAGTTTATATTCCAATATATTATTATCAGACATTTCAACCTTTAGTAGTTTTTAAACGATGCACATATAGTAAATTAATAACTGCAGGTTGTAGCCGATAGGAGGTTATAGGTTATAGGTTATATTTTATGATTAATTCTCCAATTTAAAATACGTTTATACCGTTCGGTTTTATAATTCGAACGTTTAACACTATAGTGTGAATACAAGTAACAATAATACACAATCAGACATCATTAATGTTTTTTTCGCACATTACAATGTCTAATAAAACTATATTCATCGTATTTTTATTGCTATACCTACATTATTGTTACACTATTTTGATGTACGATTGTAAATGTACTACCCGATACAATAACAAAATGATTGTGTAGAATACGTGTCAAATATAATAAAATACGTAGGTATTAACACTTATATTGTCGATGTTAAAACTATGATAAAATAGAAAAATAATAGAAAAACATGCAATGAAAATGTGAAAAATAAATTGCTTGTGGATCTTAAAAAGTATAGCATTCGATTTAAGTTTCAGAAAAATAAATGTTCCACGTTACATATTTTGTATGTCTATCGTTAGTTTTAAACATTTCTGTATTGAAATTATTATAATCTCATTTTGTCTTGCAAATTGAGTTATAATTTATAAACATATAAAATATAATATATATATATTTTATTCGGTATAAATTATTATTTTTTTTAAATGTTAACAAAATTATTAAATAATTTGTTTTTAACTATTAACTCGTATAGAAAATGAATAAACAATTTGTAAAAAATTTAAATCTTAATTTTTCTCAGAAATTATTTGATAGTTCTTTTATTTTTTTGCAGTTACGTTTTTCCTAGTACAGACGAGTTAGCGAACCAGTTAGATCACGTTTTAAGATATTTCGGTTTGCAATCGATCGTTGGACTTGGAGTGGGAGCTGGTGGGAACATTTTGGCGCGGTTCGCTTACAGACAACCAACAAAGGTAATATATAACTCGGCGTTGTCGCCATTTCGATTTGTTATATAATATTATCATATCATATAATTACGATAATGCATTAATGTGTATATTGTCTCAAATGGTGCTCATTTTCTCAAACATTTTATTGGTCACGTATTGCAGGTCGAAGCGCTGTGTCTGATCAACGTGGTGTCAACGCCGGCCGGTTGGATCGAGTACGGTTATCAAAAATTGAACAGCAGATACTTGAAATCCAAAGGCATGACACAAGGGGTGATGGACTATTTGATGTGGCATCATTTTGGAAAAGTTAGTAGAGTATAAGAGTGCCCTATTGTAGCTACAGCTTCGGATCCATCGGTTTGGGTCTTATTTCTCTTATAATTTGTTTGTAATAGTGGGTTATAACAAATATATTATGTGTACCACCATTTATAATGAATCTTAAACCTCTGCTGCAGCCATATCC